GTAATAGCCTTCTCCAAATGCTGAATGAACTATCTGGAAAATGAGATTAGAAAACAAGTGGGTGCTAAAAATGTGAAAATCTACTGTGGGAAACCCAGCCAATCCACTAGACTGCCAGGTGCCACAACTGGTACACTCTTGAACCCAATTTGGAAGAACCAGATTTGCCATAGAACATAACAGAAAATGATTGCACCTTCTCCATCTTTGCAGTTACAGTAATGATCAGTGTAATTGCCTCAAGTCACATCTCATTGTAAATTAGAAAGGAGATTTGGGGTCTGTCAGCTGTGATTTGCTAAAACATCAGGCAATGCAGTCAATCACTGTATCATTCCTGTACTTCACTCTGAATTGTTTGCTGATTTAGTTTTTTACTAGATGGCCATTTTGGAAAATCAACAAGAAAATAATGTGAAATGAACATTGATTTTAGGTGTTACAAACAGAGAAAAGAGTAGAAAGACAAGGAGAAGATTTTTTTCTATAGAAATAAATAAGTTTTCAAAGTATCTATGAACACAATGATTGCAATAACCAATGAGAGAGTTAAGTAGTTGTGATCTTGTTCAGTTTTATCTGAGTTACCTAGAGAAAGAAACATGGTCCCACTAACAGTGAGAGTTTGCCAGGATTTCTTTCACTCTCTTATACAGACAGACAGACTTCATACAATAGGAGCAGGAGACACACACATTAAGATAATAATGTGCTAAATATAATAGTTCTGGAATAAATAGGACAAAATTACTCATCAACTCAAGCTTAACTAAATTACTCATCAACTCAAGCTTAAATACACGAAGTAACTAATACAATTACTTAATCTTTATTCACTTCTGTTAATGTTGCCCTGAGTGAGAACAACCAGAATGGGTTGTTGATTCCTGCTAACAGGAATATTTTAGCTGAGCACAAACCAAACCACAAGCATGCCAAAATGCTCCATTAATTCCTACAGGACCCACAGCTCTGTGGAAATACAAGGCTTCATAGAACTACAAGGCTTCATCAACCAGCTATGTGTAAGCCATGTAGCTGACCCCACATTGTCTTGGAGAGCACAAAAATCCATCTCTATATTGGGCAACACTCATTCAAGTTCAGGACAACTTACTTCCTTGTATAACAGAGAAACATGAAGTCAGCAAAACCACAGGAGAAGTGTTGATTAACACATGGAGTAGGCAGAAAACACAGCCCGATCAGATTATTAAAAAATATATGTATGTATCTGAAGAGCTCACAAGAAGCAACAAGACAAACATTTGGAAAGGAAAAGTATGAATTGCTGACAGTATCAAATGCTTTTAACACATTACACCCATATTAACATTAACAGAAAACTATTGGTCATAAATATGAAGAAAAAGCCTTTACTTCAGGCAAACAGATCAGCACTAATGAACTTTCTTGAAAGTAAAAAGATATCCATATAATTCAGTTATTAGCTGTTACAAGGAAATAATATGTGGGAGGATTGTGCATCTTTCAGATAAACTAGTTCCCAGTTTAACACACTGCTTTTAGAGATCTTAAAAAATATATATAACCTAGTTACTGTAAAATATATTTAGCTACCAAAGTTTTTAGCTTTAACATTTTGCTGAGATGCTGAGTATTTTGAAAAAATCTCACTTTGTCATAAACAGGCAAAAAATGATGAAGTATTGAAGGTCATTGTAGAGAGGTTGGTGCTGGTCTCTTCTCACAGGTAATTAGTGACAGAACAAGAGGGAAGGGCTTCAAGCTGCACCAGGGCAGGTTTAGACTGGACATTAGGAAAAAAATGTTTCACATGTGGGCCATGACATTTCCCCTCAGCCTCCTCTTCTTCAGACTAAACAACCTCAGTTCTCTCAGCCATTCCTCGACTGAGAATGAAGATGTTGAGAACATGTCTAAAATAATACAAGGAAGTACAAGCAGGCAGGGTTAAAAAATATTATATTTTCACTGACAGTACAATTCTTAAAATTAAGATCTGACTGGCAGTTAAGGACATATCTGCACCAGCCCAGGTATCAACTGCAGAGTGACACAGAGTCCAGATACTGATGTCAGCTTTAACTGAGCCAGCTCAGACACTAAAAAATAATTAACCTCTGAAGCCTTGAGCTCCATATGCTGTAATTCAATACAGACATACCTTCAATCTAACAAGTAACAAACAGCAGACGAACGGGAATATATACTCTGCTTACTAGCAGGTACTAAGGTTACTGTTAGTGCATCTTCACTTATTGCTTCTGCAAGCGTTCGGGAAATGAAGGCAGCATATGCTGGAACATTCTTTCTTAAGTTCTTCCCTTTGCAGGGAAAACAAATGCTGAGAATGATGAGTGTAAAGAATGGTTTTCACAGGAGGTGAGAGAACCTCTTCACATAGGAAATGGGAAAGCAGGTTGGTCTAACACCCAGAAATGCAGAAACATGGTTCCTTGCATGGAATTAACTGAAGGTCCATCAGATCTGTTTCATGCCTAACATTTAAAATTTTCCAGAGCTACTTCTTTACCTTGAAATTCTTCTTCATTGCTAAGCAGTGAATTTCTTCCTTTCTGTTTTATTTCCCTTCTGGAGACAAACAAAAGATCATCAGCATCCAACATCCTCCCCCTGGGATGCCTTTTGTCTTCTGCTCTGCTTTTCTTTTTCTTTTTTCCCTTATCGCCTTTCACAGTATTTTTCTTTGTGTCTCCCCTTCCTTCATCTTCCACAGATGAGTGAGGATAGGTGGTATCTCTGTCCAGGTTAAAAAATCAGGCAAGGAAATTTATTAAGCTAGAAGCCAGTGCCAGATGTTTAAGATGCAGCTACTGAGTTAGTGCAGTCAAAACCAGAAACAATACAGTGAAAACTTGAGACATTAAACCAACTGTAAGACATTGCTGAGCTCAATCATTATGCTTGAAAAAATTTAAGCTCTGTTCCAAGCCACACTAAAAACTGTTTTAGTTTTATTTAAAGGTGATAACAACAGTCCTTATTGTGCACTATGGCAACAATATTGTTTGGAATATTTTATTTATATTCCATCAATTTAATTTCAGTCACCTGCTATACATACTGGCAAGTGCATTTATATCCAAATAAGTGTTTACTAGCTGAAAACTCTATATAGAAATTCACTATTAAAATTACTTCAATATAGAGTTTAATATACTGTTTTACTCAGAGATCTGCCAGATTTGATCTCACTTCATCTAAAATTTATACTAATAAGGTTATTTGTTTCTCTTTTTCAAAACTTTACTATTTATTTCAGTCAGTTCTCTAAAGAATTCCTCTGTTTGTCAGTGAGTAACTCAATTTTCTTATCATTTTTACATAATAAAAAGTCAGCTTGTCAATAAAGTCTGTTTGGAGAATGAACATTAAATTTTATATTAAAGCACTCAGTAATGACACCAAGTATGTAGAATGGAAGCAACTCCTACTGCCCATGCATTTAGTTGTATCTTTTCTTAATAAGGCACCTCATTTAGAATATAATCCAACTTAGTGGAAAGGAAAGACTTCCACTGATTTTACTGGAACTCATCTCAGTTACATACCTGCCTCTTTTCAACTGGTTGTATGCATTAACCAGGAAACCAAAGTCTTCTGGTTTACTTTTCAGTGAAAAGAGGATACCATCACGTAGGTGATCTGGCCTGGAAAAAGACATTCATGTATTTGCAGATCTGGAATGCTGCTCAGAAAAGTGAGGGTATTTATTTGTTTATGTGCTGTGGCTGCAAGCTGGCAGAAGAGCAAGTTTGAAACTGTTGGAATCACTACCAGGAAATGTATAGGAAAAGGCTTGAATCAGTGTTGCTTTTTCATTCCATTATTTCCAGGGAAGCCACAAATCAGCTCATGACTGGTACCCTCACTCATCATTTTTAGGTGTAATCTTTAGCACTGATCATCATAATAGAACACTGATAAACATGAAGAACTTCTAAATTTGCCTTTAAAGGTGGAATTTGTCCTGTTAATGCAACCTCTTGAGAAGAAATCTTCCATGATGGAGATGATACAATTCCTTGGCAGCAGTGCCAGTACTACAGGGACGTACACAGAAGAGGAAACCCTTCAGTCTGGAATCTCTTAGATATGTCAAGGTAGATGAAAATGTGACACTTTCCTTCTGGAAAGCTGCTGTGGATTATAAAGGTTTACATAGGTTCATAAAAGTAATGGCAAAAAAACTGGTGGAAGAAAAAAATCATTAAATATGTTAATACAGAGACTCCAGTTCTGCTACAGAAAATCCTTAAATCCTATCTTGCTATTGGGAATGTATCCTGGAAAAATATCCCTATATATTTCTTCTGATCTTATTCTACTTCCTCAGATCTGTTGTTGCATGCTGTCAGAGATTGTTGGTGTGCTGAAGGTTATCACAATCCAATGCTATTTCAAATGGATTAAAATAGAATTTAATACAAGATGAAAAAGTAATCCACAGCCTCTGGGAACCACTGCAAGTTCAGTGCATGCTTCAGAGAAATGTTACCCCTGCTGTACATTAAGTTCTGCAGCACTTAAGGAGGGGCTCATACCCATCCTACACACTCTCTCCTTGGATTTAAGCCCAGTAACAGATTCAGTATCTTAGAAACAACCTGCAATTTACTGCACAGCTTTATATCACAATAAGTATCTTAAAAGAAAAGTAAGGCCTACAACAATCAGCAACCCCATCTCACCTCTCAGCCATGCAGGAACCTCCTGGGGCTAAGCTTCAAACCATCCCATCCCACCAACGATTCCAAATTGAAAACAGAGTAATAAATTGCCAGATAATAAAATAGTAGGGCAGACAGTTAAAAGGTCTTCTGATTGACACATTTGTGGGTCAAACAATTTGGTTGCATGTGTAGAGCAAAGCCAGTTCACAATAGCTGTAGTTAAGAGTACTAGACAAGAAAATCCGACAGCACACTTGAACCCCAAGTGCAACATTTGGCATCCTCGTAAAATAACGGTGACATTTTTAGGTTCTAACATACTCACGTCACATATTCCACCATCTGCACCACCCTTATGTACTGACAGGAGAAGGCATACTTCATTTGGCTGATTTTAATGAGCTCACTTCTTACACAGTGCTCCTGTAATAATCCAATCGACATTCGTCTCACTCTCAGAAACAACGAAGAGGCACATGTATACAAAGACAACTGTTCTAATTTAACTGGAAGTACAGTTATGTGATGTAGAGAAAAGCTGCAAGTACAAAATAAATTTTCTTCATATGCAGTATGAAAAATGCAAATGAAAAATGCACTACAAAAAATCTTAAATTATCTTAATGGCTTACAAACATGATTAAATAGGAGACTATACTGACTGGGATAAAAACCTCCTGTTCTTCTCATTTAGCAGCATGGAGCTTGTGAAAGCCACCAAATAGATTCAAGTGAAAAGAACAGAATATGATGTAAGATTAAATTATCCTACAGAATTTCTTGGTTCATGTCTATTACATGAGCTCTTCACTAAGCCTTGAAATCTGATTTACTTTGGTTAGCTGGAGACAGGGTTAGGGTCAGTGACCTCATTAGCCTGGAAAAATACACCTGCCTTATCAGAAACAGAACCATGTTTATACCATTGCCATGTTGGTATCACCTTCTCAGTTTACTTACTTTCCTGCTGTTGAACATCAGAACTGTGTAGAGTTTATCATCCATTTTCAGCCTCTTTGGTGTTGCTATGACAATGGCAGGTGCATAATATTCATCTCCTGTCTGTGTCCCAGTTCTTGCAAACACATAGTCTCCCACCTGCACCCCAGGAAAGCATTGGTTTGCAAGAACAGTGCAACTTTCAAGTTTTGTAAGACATAAAAGGTAAATATTAATATATTTTAAAGGAATCATCATTCTAACATGTTCCCATGCTTTAACATGGATCTTTAAAAGAAGAACTTGCTCCTTGCATGTATCAATCATTCAGAATTTCCACTGAATCAGGGAGAGAATACAAAGCAAAAATTATGAACAGAGCTGGGTTCATGTAGAAAGTCAAACAGAATGAGGAAACTCTTACAAGCCCTTGAACCTTGAACCCCTTGAACTCTTACAGCCACCTGGACCTCACACAAACTTTTAAGTTTTTAGTAAGCTTTTAAGCCAATGTTGGAAATTTTAGAGAATTCCATATGTAACTGACTTACTCAAAGTAATTCTAAAAAAGAACACAGAAGTCACCATTTTCTATCAATAATTGCAGATCTTCTCTAAAATTGGGTGGCGCCCTTGCAGAATATCAGGAACTACCTGATCAGGATTTGCCTTCAATTCAAAGGGAAAAAAAAAAAAAAAGCATTTCTCTCACTTTTATGTGTAACAAATCAGTTCTAAAAATGCTTTTTGTATTCAAAACATCTGTATCCATTCTGTAGCCTTTCCATAACCAACATCACTCTTGTGTGTAAAGTAAGAATTACTTGAAAAAACAACTGTGATTACAGGTAGTCAGCTGATAAATTTTAAATAAAAACAAGATACTGAATAAGATTATTTTTTTTCCTTACTGTTATTTGCCTTAGTATAAGGTTATCTGCTTGGATTTAAAATATGCTGTGAAAAAAAAAAAAGGTTATAACCTGCTGTACATCACGTTGTATAAAAAAGGGTCCCCTTGATTCAGAATCTATGTGGTAGGAAACAGTTGTTCTGCTGGTAAATAGCTCACCTTTCTTCTATAGGCAGCCAAATATTAGTGTTTTATAATGAAAATAACATTGAATTCTAATAAACAAATCAATAGGATTACAATGAACACAAGCTCCAAAAACTGAAAAATGGCATGTTGAAAAAAGCACACTGCTATCACTAAAAGCTCTTCTTTAAAATAAAGAGATGTATTTAAAAGATTTTACAATAATCTATCCTGCGCAGAAATGAACAAAATTAAAACTGTATATTTGCTGTAATAAAAAATTAGATTTTCACCTGCAGAGATGGGCATGGGATAGAACCTCCCACAGGCAGAGTGAACTTCACAGGTACAACACAGGTCTCCCCATTGTTGAAGTCAACAAGTGCACAGGTAGAACTGATATTCTTTATCACAGTTCCTAAAAAACCATCATCAGAAAAGATTAAAATTATTTTTCTTTTATCCCTTGAGGAAATTTTCTTTTAAAATCCTATAGGCTGTCACACATCACTGAGGTCACATGGCTCTATGCTATACATTCTTTGTTTTCTTCTTTGAACACATGCAAAAGCTCAGCTTTTGCCAAATGATCAACAGAAACACTTAAGGGAGACATCAAAGAGGAGTAGGTTGATACTCTCAAGTTACTCAGGTACTTAAAAGAATTTCCTTCCATAGTCTTCTTATATAATTATAGCATTGCTTCCTAACTTTACAGAATGTATGTCATTTTATAAATGTATATAAGAGCACACACAAGATTGATATTCATTTTTCATTGATACGCACATGGAAGCTTAAATCCGATTAAGACAAAAGGAGCTAATTATGACCAAAATATATATTTTATCAGCATTAAGAAAAGCTAAAACATATTTAAATTTTGGGCAAAAGTATATACCTGGATAATAAAATCCTGTGACATCTGATCTTGCAATGACCTTTTGGCTTCTGTGAGTCACCAACACTTGGCCTTTTGGAATTTTTTTAGACTTCAACTTCACCGTTTCCTCTTGAAGTCTCTGGAATTTGATACAATTAATTTTTTTCCACAACAGCTCAACCTATCAGCTACAATCTATCCTTTGGAATTAATAAAAAATGTAGGCAACGTAATGTTACCACCTCTGCAGATAAACTGGAATTCCAGTAAACTGGAAATATTTTAAACATTCCAAATAGTAATAAACAGAGGAAGCAACGTTGCGGGAAGTACTCACGGGTAGGATCATCTAAGACTTTTCATTATAACATCCTGTTTTACCCAGTCATAACAAGATCTATATAGTCTCAAGTGTTCAGACAGAAATTTATCTTGATGAATTATGGCTCTGCCTGCCATTTCCCTAGAAAAAGTTTTTTAAAGTTGTACAAGAATGAGACAAGGCAAAATCACCTGATTTTGCAGAATAAGTGAAGATGTGATACATACTCATTTTGTCCAGATAGGTGAGTGAGTTCACAATGATCTTATTTTCATTAAAAGTACCTCACTCTATGGAATGAATGATTTAAAAAAATCAAATATATATTTTTTTCTTTTAATCTTGGAAGTGTCTGGAAAAAATGCTTACAAACTATAAATTCAAAATTGAAGTTTTCAGCAGCTTTAAAGCATTCCTGTTTTTTCACATTTTCCAGAGCTGCCACTGACCATCATTCTACCCTGCTAGTTTGGGTTCTGTTCTCTGGGGGGTCAGCTCCTGTATCATACCAGAGCCACACAGAACTCTGGAGATTACTCCTGAATTGCTCACAAATAAAACTGGGGACCACACACAGGATGGTGAGACTAGAAATCTAAGTGGGGCTGGCTGTATGTGGACCAACTCAACTCCTAGTTGATGTCAGTGACCACAACAAGATGCAACTTAATGAAGAATGCAAAAAGATCAATGGATCTCACACAACTGAGGCAGGGGGCTGTGGGAAACACAGCATGTGAAAAATAGTCAAAGACTCACAAATCACAAGTGCCTCTATGTCAATCTGCCATTGGGCTTTCCAACCTTCTGCTTACTTTACAGTCACCATATTATTTTACCTTAAAACCATTTGTATCTCACATTCATATTTTATGGAGTCTCAGTGTTATTTGCCTTCAAAGAAAATCATGCTCCTGAATTTCCTTTTTTCTAGAACAGAGAATTTCTTCCCACTCAGGGCATCTCTCTTACAGAGAGTTTTGAGAGGATCAGGATATTATATGTATGTCAAAATGTGAAAAAACACTTGTATCTTTTGCTTTTCTGAGAAAATGAAGAAAACTGGTAACATAAAACCATTTCCTAATATTAAAAATATGTAATCTGAACATTTTCATAAGTAAATTTTAATAATCCTCTAGAATAACAACATAATTTATAGTTACAGTAGCAAATTATTTCTGGAAATTATCTATTCTTTTCTCCGTACGGCTCACAAAAGTGCTCTTAAGTATTTATTCTAAGCATGCAAAATTAAATGAATAATTATTTCCTATTAATTTTAAAAAGACGTATTTCTGACCTACCTCACAAAAAGTTTGCAAGCATCCATCTCTTATACAGTTCATTTGAATCACAAAAACACACAGCTTGAAATCTCAAACTTTTCCATAGATCTCCACACTGTGCAGAAAACAATCATAACTCACAGACTCCTATAAGCCTGCTTCCTAGTGTGTGTGTGTGTGTGTGTATGACCTACATCCTTGTCTGGTGACATTTTTCTTCCTAAAAAGACTTATTTATTTTGATACTCAATTTTCCCTACCAGTCAATAACGACAGAAAAGATGGGTAGAACTCTGACTAAATTGTCTGCTCTCAGTTTCACTATAACTATCACAAACTCTTTGTTCCAGTTTCCCACCAAAAAAAGAATAAATCACAAACAACCCTAAAAAAAAATAATCCTAGAAATAAGCAGAACACACAGACACAAAAAGGCAAAAGGCAAAGATGTATTTTATAGGGGAGGCATGTGGAGGTTTTTTTATCAATGCTTCTGTTTTTCCTTCTCAGCCTAAACCAAAGGCTCTTTTCACAGTGCTAACAAGGGCTAACAAGGGCTGATCTGAATGCAAAGACTTACAGCTCCACAGACAGAAGACACTATTTGAGGAAACCATTTACTTAACTCCTCAGGCTCCAAAGAGACAGCTGCTGCTGAATATTTATTATCAACTAATTTGTGATGCTTGACTAATAACTTGGGCTAGTTCCAGCCCTCTCCGTTAATCCAAACACTAAAGACTAAGCAGGCATCCACAATGGGGATGCTGAGTCTTGTAGAATTCAGGTGGCTAAAAAACACAGTCTAACTTCAAATGTGTCTCCCCCCAGGAGGTGGGACCCCACAGACAGTGTGAGTGACCCAGCCACTGTCAGAGAGCCTGTTTCTGGGGTATCGTTCTCCAGCATTTTCATTACAAAAAAGCACTGCCTTATTCTCACAGAATTTGCCCCTGTGTAGCTATGCTGCTGATTAAGGCAACACTTTAAACCACAAGTGGTAAAGGAGACTTTGTTTCCCCCTGCCAATACCTGCTGTTTTTTACAACTGCCTTCCAAAGAGACTAGGTTGTTGTTGTCACCGTTTGACTTGGGTTCGACAGCAATGCCCTTGATCCCCTCCCACCCAGGTAGGGAAGGAGAGAGAGAAAAAGAGAGAGACTTGGCTGGATTGAAAACTAAACTACACAGCTTTAATTAAACACCAACAATATAAGAAAATATATACAATTATATACAAATGTGTTCAGGAAAGCTCCTATTGCCTCCCACCATCCCCAGCAACTCCCACAGGGAAGAAGAAGCAGGAAGGAAGTTGTCTTCTGTGATCTCTGACCTTCCTCTGAGCTTCTGTAGCTCCATGGAATGGAACATCTCTGGCCAGTTTTGCTGTCTGTCTAACTCAGCCTCCTATGGGGGGGTCACAGATCTCCCCGTAGTGTCTGAGCTGGCAGAGTGAAGGTGCGGCCTTGGAGACCCAGCAGGTAGAGAAACATTCCACTGTTATCAGCCTTAGTTAGAACACTCTGGCACTAGTTAAAAGAAAGCTTACTGAAGGGAAAAAAATCAGTAAAAGGAAAATTGGCTTCATCCTGGCTCAAACCAGGGCACTTGGCTTTGCACTTCCCTACCGTTAGAGTAGATTGAAAGACTATCCACAAATCTCCACATATCTTGGTTTTAACTCCAGCTTTTTGCAACCCTGACACCTCCAGAGCCAAGCAACCACTACTTTTTCCAGACTGTCAGTGCCAACAAGCCTGTTCTGTGTTGACCACAGTCCATTTTTATGAAAGACCCTAATTTTTTGCAGCCATACACCATTTGTCCAACAGGTGGCTTCCCTGATGACGCTGGAAAATTTGACCAAAAATTTCATTTCCAGTTCTGGGCACCTCAATTCAAGAGAGATCTCGAGGTGCTGGAGCGAGTACAGAGGAGGCAACGAAGCTGGTGAAGGGCCTAGAGAATAAATCTTATGAAGAACACTGGAAGGAGCTGGGAATGTTTAGTTTGGGGAAGAGGAGGCTGAGGGGAGACCTCATCAGTCTCTACAACTACCTGAAAGGTCATTGTAGAGAGGGTTGGTGCTGGTCTCTTCTCACAGGTAATTAGTGACAGCACAAGAGGGAAGGGCTTTAAGCTGCACCAGGAGAGGTTTACACTGGACACTAGGAAAATTTTTATCACAGAAAGAGTGGTTGGACACTGGAACTGGCTGCCCAGGGAGGTGGTGGAGTCACCATCTCTGGGTGTATTTAAGGGCCATTTGGATGTGGTGTTGGTGGATCTGGTTTAGGGGAGAACTTTGTAGAGTAGGGATGATGGTTGGATTTGGTGATCCCAAGGGGCTTTTCCAACCTGAATCATTCTATGAATCTATGAAACACACTATTTTAGAAAGTATATTCTTAATGAGAGTAAATCCTTAGCAATGAATGCAGATTTATCTCTCTGCAGAATCTGAAAGCCATTAATATGCAGAAACAGAAATATTTAGTTTGGGACAAAATGTTCTCCGTCACTCTCAAAGTCCCAGTTGTGACACTTAGGGAAGGAAATACTTCACATGAAAATGTTACAGCTGTTAATGGAATGGACCAAACTGTTCTGGAAGCTACCATGCTTGGAGAATAGCAATGCCATTGCCCCAGGATACTTGAGGTGATCTAGAAAGAAGTAGGTAAGGGACCCTTAAAAAGTCCTTTTACTAAGTGACATAATATTGTAAGCAGCTTTATAATTCAGTGAGAAAAATAAACAATCCACAAGTAGAAGGGATGATTGACAGGCCTGACAAGTTCAAAATAGAAAATAGATACAATATTTTAAGTCAAAGTAGTTACTTATTAGGGAAAAAAAAGTGTTACATTCCTCATTTTAATATCTTTTGATGAAAGCTGAGTGCCAGCCTGAAAAGGAAGGTTTTGTCAACCTATGCTTTGATCTGTACAGCAAAAGGAACTAGGTAAGCTGAGTAAAATACAGTCTACAATTAGCACTCCAATTAGGTAACCATCAACATTTAGTGGTTTATATTTTGCCTGATAATAACTAAATGTGTTTTCTCATTTCATAAGGCATTTACTTCTTGCATCACTGGAGGTCCCCACACATGTCACAGCCCTGTGCAGATGGATGCCTACTTCATCCTCTTCCACTGGAATACCCTTTTACAGCCAGGAGCAAACACAGCAGGCTGAACACAACTCCCAGAGGTCAGAGCACAGAGAGGATAACCAGATCATTAATTCAGTTGTAGGCTTAAACAGAAAGCTCCTGTAGCAATGACATCCAAAAAGGATTACTAATTCTTTTAAGAAGTTGTGATGGTAATTAGGAATCCTTAAGATCTAAAAACTAAGGGGTTTTATTTTTAATTTATTGGAAAAAAAAAAAGTAGCAGGTAATTTAAAAGTCTGCTTTGTTGAGTAAACATCCAGGATAATGGTGATTTTTCTCACAATTACAAATTGGTTCAGTTCCATATCAGATATTACCTTGATACAACGTTTTTCAGCTGGCAGTTTGATTTTTATACTCATTTTGTAGACAGACATCACAGCTGGAAAAACCTCCAACAGCATTTTTTAAAGGTTCTCCAGTTTTTCTGGGTTTTTTCCTCCAGATAAACAGAATTCTAACTACATCTGCTTTGCTACCTCTCACTCTTAAAACCTTTCAGTTGCAGATTAGCAATTACTGAAGATGGTGCTCTTATTAGGCTCCTAAAGCAGGTTGACTCAGGATATGTGATTGCACAATGTTAATCACATCATGACTGACAGCACATACTGATTTTTTTCAAGGCAACAGTAAAATGACAGTCAACAAACAAAACATGAACATGTTTATGTTGCTCTTGTTTTGGGACATTATATGGCAGGGGTAAATCAAAATAGCTGCATTAGCTATGTAATACTTTCAGGATAATGTAAAATTAATCAAGATAATATCTTTTAAAGACCTTAAAATGTTTTCAAATGTACAGTCTTAATGTAAAAAATTTCTCAAAAGCTACAGAACACTTAATTTAATCCTTACCACTTACTTTTATGGCTTCTGCTATCATAATATATCCCATCCAATTTAACACAAATAATGTTTTATAACTTGTCATAGTATGTAAAAGGGAACAGGTCATGGTGAAAACTACTGTTTCTTCATCTCTCAATGAAGAGAGGGGTATATCTCCTTGAAGAAATGTCAAATTAAACAAAAGACTTTTTGGTACATTCTGGTGAGCAGAGTATGGATAGCTGGCATCATTTACAATTGTAAATTCCAATTGCACATTCCCACTCCTAGCTGAGAACTCATAGTACAGGTTTGTACTGTGCTCATTTGAGTTTCTCTTAGCTTACCTCTTAAAATTGTATGTAAGTGTATCTATATATACATACACATATATTTGTCTACATATATATGCAGATATCAGGGCAAAAAAACCCTATTTCCATCATTGGATTAAGCTTCGTACAGAATATAAAACACAGGAATTCCCTCAGCATTCCCTGCAACTAGGCCAACCACACCTTCAGGTTCAGTCAAAGAGTAGTTTCCCTCATTCAATGATATAAAACAATGAAAAAGAAAAGGGATATACATACATATATATCTATATCTAAATAGATGAGCTTTATGACTCTTTGTTTTTATTTAGCCTCTATTCGAATGTAGCAGTCTGAGAAGGTATTTTCTTTCTTATTAATTTCCTGGATAACTTTATTTAATATTATCACAGTACTACTCTACCTAGACAGCACTTCTACTGAGGCAACAGCATTCCCAGGGAAGCACTGTTTGATGAAGATTTTAGATTAAAAACTTGAAACTGAATAAGAGAAATGGTTTGACTTTTTCAGAGGTAAGAACTTTGAATTTTAAAGCATCAATAGTTTACACAGAAATCTCTCCATTGGGGAAGATGAAACAGCTTTTAAAAACTTAAAATTAGGTTCTTCATTTTCCTGATAATTCATATTCTTATCTTGAAGATAAAACCATTAAGGTAGAATCAATTAATTTTGAAGAATGTTCTGGAGTCCTTAATATAAAAAGAACATGGACCTGTTGGACTGAGTCCAGAGCAGGGCCACAAAGATGATGAGAGGGCTGGAGCAGCTCTGCTGTGAATACAGGCTGAGAGAATAGGGACTGTTCAGCCTGGAGAAGAGAAGGCTCCAGGGAGACCTCACAGCAGCCTTCCAGTGCCTGAGGGGGCTACAGGGAAGCTGGGGAGGGGCTTTTTACAAGGGTGTGTAGCAACAGGACAAGGACAAGGGCCAATGGTGTTAAACTAGAGCAGGGTAGATGATATAGATTAGACATTAGCAAGCAGATCTTTCTGATGAGGGTAGTGAAGCACTGGAACAGGTTGCCCAGAGAGGTGGTGGAGGCCCCATGCCTGGAAACATTCGAGGTCAGGCTTGAGCAGGCTATGAGCAACCTGATCTAGTCAAAAAGGTCCCAGTGCACTGAGAAGGGTTGGACTAGATGACCTTTAAAGGTCCCTTTCAACCCCACACATCCTATGATTCTATGATAAAATAATAATAGGAGAACAGAATATTGTAACCTAAGATACATTTTCTGACCACATATATCTCCACAGAGAAAGCCATAATGAAAAAAGTATATTCTCTCCTTCAGTAGGGCAGCCTAACATAATTTACTAGCCTTATTTTTATACTTGTTTCTTCATGTATTTCTACAGACATTTCATTAGACCTCTCAACAGCATTGAAAGTAAAATAAAAGGTTTGTCTGGGGGACATATGTATGGATCAAAAATCACAAACTTCAGTCACAGTTTCACAGTAGCTGGACTACTTTCTGCTAATGTGTTAACGGATTGGAGAGAGCACTCTGTGCTCATGAAAGGTAGGTGTCCGCTTCAGGATGAAATCCAGATGCCACTGACCACAGCACTGTGAACACAAGGCACCAGTTCATGTATGCCTACATTTTATGGGCAGCTAAATGTTAGTGGCTGAGTATGAAGCCAAATCTCTTAGAAAATCCATCTTGCCCACAGAACATTAGAGTGCATTTTTCTGACATTACAAGATATTTTAGTCCTGTTATCAGATCCTAATCCAATCACAAATCTTGTATCATAATTACCTTCAATATCTCTCTTCTTTCTCCTCTTCAATATATAATTGTGCTGATGTTGCAGAGGAGATACAGATACTTTGCTCAGATTTGTTTTTATGAAGCTTGATTTCTGTGGCTTTCAGAGCTTCAAAACTCCTGCTTTCCCAGTATTCAAAAAAAGTCACAGAAAGCTTTCTCTCTTTTTAATTACCCTCTTTCCTCTATCCATTTGTATAGAATCATGCTAAATGCCTACTTTAGCAGCTATAACCACAGAAAAATAATTAATCCAGAAGCCCATACTGAAGAGCAATATCTGGGGGGAAAAAATTCCCTACAATCTATTACCTTTTTATTGTTGCTTATCTGTGATTCTGGGCTTTTCTCAGTTTCCTTTTTGACAGCTTCCTGAAGATCAGAGGCTTGTTGTATATATGTTAATGCTGCCAGGATCTCATCTTCTAACAATATTACATCTTCACAGGAAATTGGCCATCCCAAATTCTCTAAAGACTCCAGCAAAGCTTCTTTATGCTGCATATATTGAACTGGCCCGTCCTCTTTAAATCTTAATTTAAAAGAAATATTAAAAATTAATAATCACAAGTAGGAAAATATTTCTTTTTGGCAGTGCTTTACAAATAGTAACACATAAAGGCAGAATAAAACATCAGGTTCATCCATTCCATCTTCTGTATGCCACAAGTTCTTATGTTTCATCCAGCTACTGTTGTGTTTAGTCACTTAATTTCATCTGCCTTAACTGTATCACACAGAACAATTCAAGTAGCTGACCATAGATGACTGGTGCCATTTTTAGATGTCTTGGAATATTGTTGCCTGGAGGCAACAAGAAAGAGCTTGCAGATACTATTGAGAAATTATGGACATCACTGGTCATTCAGGAACAGCACCTAGGGATAAGTCACAAGCCTTTAGACAATCTAAAATGGCACCAGGTGTCTGTTAAGTCCTGATGTGCCTCATCAGTCTTGATGGATCACATGAAAAAAGACAGTCCTCTGTGGTTTATTCTTCTGTCACTCCTGCACTGCTCAATTTTATGCAATGGTCAGGAGTCTGCTTCCATCTGTGGTTCAGATTATGTCAATGTCCACTGAAGAGCCAGTTTGAAGCTGCACACTGAAGGTAACTGTACACTGAAAGGTCAATTAGATACAGTCTCCTTGTTGATAAAAAACAAACTGAACCCTTCAAAGTCCAGAACAAGTAGAATTCTTTACATCTCCAATTGGAAGTAACATACTTATTTTTAGTATTCAAAAAGTTGCTCTCTTGTGGCTCTTCTCTACAGCTTTGACAACATTAAAAAAACCCATGAAACCTAGAACTGGGAAGAGTATCTCTTACCACCACATACAAGCATGGTGATGTCTCCATGTTGTCCTACTTGTTGTCACTGCTTTTCTCTTTGCTCCCCTAGGAACTGCTTTGTATTTAATTTATCCTGACTAATATAGTTATCTAGCTATGTTTTTTCCTCTATTAACTGAATCCATTATTAATATACCATCAATGTCAAACTAACTTTATCTCCTGAATCACATTGCTGATCCATTTTGAACGCAAGCACAATATTACCACTTCTCTAGTACATTTGAATTTCCCTAGTATCTGAGATAACATTTTAATACACACTAGGGAACCAGAAAGCTCAACCAATTCTTTCAGGGCTTCTGTGAAAAAAGTTAGTAGATTTTGCTTATTACTCTCACTTCCCAGATTATTAATTTTGAAAGTAAGTTGTAATCCTTTTGTAATACGTGAATATGACAATTCAAATTGTAAATTTAGAAGTTAAATAGGTCAAATATTTAAATTTCTATGCATCAATAAAACATGCCCCTCTAACAACAGACTGCACAATTGCTAGGATTCTTTTTTTTCTTATATACATAATTGGCCAGACCTTACCAATAATAAAATATTTTAGATACCACCCAATCAATTTTTTGTACTCTACAGCTCATAGTCTATCAACAGACATCTATTTTCCTTTTTTAAAAAAAAAATATATGCTGGCTTTTTTTTGGTTTTTTTTTAAATTTAACAGCCTTTGCTTCCTCTCTGCCCCAGAACAGGGTTTTGGTTCTTGCTGACGATAGAATTGTGTAATTTTTTGCTCATTAGTTTAGGTCTTAAATGCATTCTAGTTTTTATTCTCATTTCTCTGCCTAGGAATATTTCCTGCCCAATCAGTCTTCATTAGTTGATCTTCATGTTGCTCTCTGAAGTAAACAGATGCTAACTTCTCTGAAGCCACTCCTGTTCATACAGTTTCTAGTGTTCTAAATGAATATACAAGCTAGTTTAGAAGTACAAACTTCCAGGGTTATATAGAGTTCCAGCACATGCTGTAAAGGTGCTTATTGTCTCTACCTGATGGAGGGATTTACCTCCATGCCAAAGGCAATTATATGCTGCCCTCCCAAGGCCCTACCACTTGACACATTAATAGACAAGCACCATTCAAACGGAATCAAGTCCTTTCCTTTAAAAGTAATCAGCAACGGTATGAAGGATGTCCAGAATTTAATTTTACTCCATATCACACACACATTTTTGAAAGTAAGGTATAGCTATTAAATATTAGAAAATCAAACCAGTTGGTTACAGGAACAGTGATTACAACCTATTAAATATTTATGACCAGCCTCTCAGAGGTAAATTAGAAAACCAAAAGGTGATAGCTTACTTGTCTTTTTCCTCCTGAGACAGTGCTCTCCAAATAATCAGGTTTAGACGCCTATTAAAGAAAGCAAAGCAGTTTTTGAGGGAATGCAGTTCCTTGCGCATCTGACCATGTCAGAACTCACAAATAAACACAGTTTCTTAAGGTATCTGCACTGATTTGTATTCCAAGAGCAATGTATCATTAAACTGTATCCTTATCATTTGGCTATGAAATTATCAACTGCAAGAGAAGATGAGAAAACAGCATCCTTCCATCAAGTAACAACATGATTATTTCAGGGTTATAAAAAGATGAATGGCAATCACTGCTGCTTCCTGCCAAGATTTCTGGTTCTCTTCAGCACCAGCAAGCTAAATCACATAACAAACCCCATTATGTGCCAGTTAATCTAAGCACAGCTCTTCCAATTAAACCATTGCAGATAACTGTAGCCCAAAGACACATGGAGAGCAAAGCTTTTCCTTTTCCTTTCCCATTCCTTTTCCCTTTCCTTTCCCCTCTCCTTTTTTTCTTTTTTTCTGCTAAGATAAACCCCCAGTTGTGCCATTCAGGCTTCTACTTCATTAATCTCTGGCTATGACAAAAAACTACCTCCAGGTAAACAGAAGTGATTGTTCCACAGCAATGCAATTCTGAGATCTTTTAAAAGCACCACTAAACTTTCTGCTTTTGCTTTTTAGGCAAGATTTATAAGCTTTTATTAGGTCATCTATTTTACAGGTTTCTCTGTTTACTAACACCTCAAACAATTAGGCCATTGCTCAATTACTGCATTTCATAATATAGAAAATAAACCTCTACTGATGATACTAATTGTTCTAAACATAGAAAAATTTCCAAACAACCTTTGGAAATGGAAAACTTTACTGGGCAGATGAGGCCAGGATGCAGAAGCTCCCAGCCAATACACTGCCCTTGAGGAACTGTAATAACCTAATTAAAGATATCATGTGGGAACTCATTTAACAGCTACAATTACTGCTTTTACACCACCCTCACCTCCAGAGTGGGCTGTGAGGATGTCCTGCCAGGTAGCAAGGACCCAAAGATGCCTGGACAAGGGGTAATGGATTAAAACTGGAAGAGGGGAAACTTAGATTAGACATTAGGAGGAAATTCTTCACTATAAGGGTGAGACACTGGAACAGGTTGTTCTTTGTCAGAGAATATCCAGCATATCTTTGTGCCTTTTTCAAGGCATAAAATTTCTGCCTTCACCAATTTTTACCCTCTTAATCTGATGCTGAAGTAAATCTATATACAGGGAAAACATTGTAATACTTCTGTTCTTGAAACCTGCATGTTCTGTCATATGGCCTCATCTAGAGATGCCAGAATAAATCTGTGACTAATCACTTTTCACAAAGCTCAGCTGCAGCCTTTGCAAATTCAATTACTGGAAAAGTACTGTGGTGCTTACAGCAAAATAAATCTGACTGGATTGCTGGTTCACATGTAAAGGAAAAGCAATGAGAAATCTTTTTTACATTGTGAATTATAAGGATCTTCAGGCAGATCTCTCTTCATGCATCTTTTTCACAGAAATAGGGAACCCAATCCTAGTACTGTAAATACACTGATTTATTGACCTCTGTGGGTAAATAATAAAGTTTTAAGGAAACTGAAAATGCTGTCAGGAGAAGATCATCAGAGTTTAACCAGAAAACACTTTTCTCAAAATTGAAGTTAATAAATGTAAAATATTAAATGGTATTGCACAGCAATGAAAAACTTGAATGTTTCTTCAGAAGTCACCCTCCACAATACACCACTTGCACCTTTTGCCAAAATGAGTGACAAATCCAGACTTCTGTGAGTTCTTCATCAGCCTGATACAGTATTGTCTCAGTGAGAGAGAACAGAAGAGCAGTAGATCTTTTTTCACACCTTTAATATTAGACATAGCAAGCCACATTTGCAAACCACAATTCTTGACTTTTACCACAGAAGATGGATAAATTTAGAAATAGGAAATGGGAATGAAAAAGAGCACTATTGCATGTTTTCAAAAGAACCAGTATGATCATAGAGCTACAGAGGGGAAAAACCCCCTTAAAATTCCACCTCATTAGAACTAATAAAAAAACCCAAAACTAAACACTTGTCATCAAGGGTTTTTTGATCATATAAAATAATTATATTTGTAAATATTACTGGAATGCAACCTGAATAAATATGTCATTTATTGAAACACGCCTAGTCAAAGCTCTCTTAAGGTTACTGAATTCAGTCAAGTAATTGCATTACTTTTAAGAAAAATACACAAATACACAAAAAATATCTCATAGGTGCCTTAGATCCTCTTGCATCCATGGTTAAGTGCTAGGCAGTTGGCAGCAAAAAGCAGGCCACTAATTTTAATGTCAGTCTATGGATTTAGGAGCTTATTTGTACATGAATAGTCTGGCTACCACTGTATTTGTGGGGGGGATTCCTCTCCAGGAATGACTGCTTTCAGGATTATTCCCAGAAAGTAAAGGAATTATTCATTGAACAAACATAATATGAGAAACATATTATTTATTTATTATGTCCTTGCCAACTATCTGTTTTTTTCATTCTGCTTTTTTAAAATCAAAATCAATATTTTTCCTACAGGTTGATGGTGGATTAAAGTGTGTCAGTGTGCAGAATAACCATTATTGAGCAAAGCATGTATGAGCAAATATCCACTACATAAGAAAAAGTTTGTATTAGACTGCAAACATGATATATTTCTAATGAGTAAACTTGCCTTTCATATAATTTAATTGCTTGTTCCAGCTTCGCCTTATAGGTATCAAGATTCACTGCCTGAGGAGTAATTAGTGTGATCTCCTTCTTGTTGTTGCTTATATGGGCCAGCAGTAACATCTATGACATAATAAAAGACAAAGACTTCATTTATCATGCAACTTTTCCTCCACCAGAATAAATGAATGCTCCTAAGTCCATGTCCAAGGATCAGAACAGACAGAAAGAACACCGGAAGGCTGCAGAAAGATCCAAGCACACTAAAGAAATGTCAGAATTAAGACAGTTTCCAGTCTGTCAGTAAAATCTTCTGAAATTATAAGGTCCCTTTATGCAGAAGTTGCAAGATTCCTAACTACTAGTCAATTATAACTAAATCAATGCTGTCAAACAACTCCAATAATGCAAGGGTAGGTCAGAAGGGAGACATGCACATCTAGATCATGACCATGTTCCAGATTGTATTGCTTTAAACCAACACTTTCTTGTACTTATTACCATCTAATTCCAGCATACACGTGTGAAAGTTACCTACTTAAATATATTTAATATTCTTATTCTGGAGGACCATATTTTCTAGAGAATTAGACAACTAAAGATGAAAAGAAACACTTTTCACCACCACACTGACCACCAAAGAGTGAGCAGGGTGGATATTGCTCACTGAAACTAGTCTTAATTAACCACGATAACACTTAGGAATCTAACCAGGTTAGTCAGAATCAGGAACGTCAATACTCTTCAAAACTCACAATACAGCATCTACATAAGTTAACTTCATTATAAAATAGAAAGTCATACACTTACAAGTAGATTTTGAATACACAGATAAAAGGGTAGAAGAGCATGATGTGTTCCAGTCTCTTAGTCCAATGTCCCTCCATCCTTCAGCCTCTTAAATTACTTAGCAGTTCCATATAAGAAAAGTTATTTTATATATCAATGTTCTGATTATTATAAACAGAAAAAATCCAAGAAATTGAGAACATGGAGAGTATTATACTCCCCAACACTATCTTTAACACATATGGTTGAGTGGGAAGCTTCTACAAGTGTTTGAGATCAGGATATAGGTGACAAAAGGAGAGATGAGGTTTAAATAAAACTAAAACACCTGTTGGAGGAAGAAGGCAAGAAATCAGAAAATAAAACAATAAAAACACTTTTTAGGTTGAGGACATTTTTCATGGATGTTTTATTTGTGATTGAATCATCGCAGTCTAGCTGGATTCCAAATTACTGCAGCATGACCACTGTTTCAGAAGAGTGGTGTAACTTTATATTCCCCTCTCTTTCTGAAAACAATTTCTCTCTGATTAACAAATCTGTGTTACATCAGTGTCAGACCATGTCAAAGCTCCTCAAGATCACTTAGAAGCTAAAATTAATGGGAACATGTCAGTGAACTACCTTGCCAGAGAGAGATGAGGTAAATCTCTGCCCAGAACTGTGAGCCATGAAATCTGGCTGCCTGTCATTGCTAGGTGGAGTTTGAAAGGTGAAAGGCAAGGAACTGAGAGTGCCCCTCTTCCAGTTCCATAGTGCCATGATAATTGTCTATGTTACTCAAACCTTCACCATGTAGAAGATGTAATCACCATGTAATCACCATGTAATACAGTTTATAAAACACTTGAAATAGAATCTGAAGGGCATACAAACATAACATCCTATTGCAGCTTTGAAGACTAAAACCAGAGTTGAATGTTTTCTCAGCAAATAGTAAACTTGACAATTTTACATACTTTGAGAACAATGAAACTGCTTGTGAAGACATGTAAATTTGACAGACTCAGCTCAAAGAAATCACAGGGAAGCTGTTTCAGTGCCAAAATGTTTTGTCAGCTTCTAAGTGAAATACTTATACTTTCATATCAAAAGAATTCACTTGTTTCAAAACGGTTTTTATTTCAAAAGTAAAAATTCAATTTTTAAAGACAAAGCCAAAGCACAATAAACCTAGAAAAATTGTCCTTATTTTAGACCAAACAAGCTGTTTGGGTTGGCTGAATCTGAACTCGAATCTTTTGAGAAAAGCATTGAGCCAAAACTCCATGACTTGCAAAGCTGTACTTAAGATGCCACAAGATTCAATAGGTACGCAAATGGTTCTATAGGAAAGTTCTGCTCCACAACCACCATAGCTTCACTAAGACAAGCCCCCAAGCTAATTAATTTGTTTCCTGACTATGAATCTGATGGGTACACTTTAATAAATTGACTTTTTTGAAATAACCTTGGTGAAACTGACAGGTAACATAGAACTAAAAACAACAGGTAAGTCTCTTGTTAATGAACAGTTGTCATGGAAACCTTTTGCTTGCTGTATCTCCAAGGTGAGAAAACTGTTCATTCCATCCTCACTGCCAGCAAAAGCCAAAAATAAAAATTATACTATCCCCAGAAAAGCAAACAAGGATGCTTGTATTCCACACCAAGAAAACTTAAGATCTCAGAAGGAAGAATGCAAATATGTCTGTCCACTTATTACCACAGAATCACAGAACAGTTTGGGTTGGAAGGGACCTTGAAGATCATCTAGTTCCAACCCCCCTGCAGAGGCAGGGACACCTCCCAGTAGACCACATTGCCTTATCTGCAATTAAGTCTTCTGAGACACTGGAATAATCAAGATTCTTAATCAATTTGTTAATGCATCCTCTTCAAGCTCTATGTCTAGTCTCAGAATCTATTTGCTGCTTTTCCTTGACAGGAAGCTGGACAGTGATCGGGTTCCACAGCTCATAAATTCTATTGGGTTCCACCAATAGCAACTCTCAACCTTCTTTCTCCTTTCTGTGCTCTGTTTCAGATCCAGAAAAATCCATATCTCCACACACAGAACAATAGTTTTCCACTGTGTTTCTATACAACTAATGGGGATTAGCAGGTGTGAAACTGGTAAAAATGTATCTTATTTTGTGTTTATATCCATGAATCTCAAGAAAGCCCATGGATCCCTGCTTAGAGTCTGTACAACAGCTGTACAATGAAGAACTTAATTCAGCCCTGAAATAGATTACTATAAGCTCCCATGAACTGTCATTAAAAGTTACCTGTCCATAGCATTTGCTGAATCACAGCTTTGACTAATTTCAAAGAAAGACCACTCTTTCAGACTACTGTAAACCTTGACAATGCACAAACTCCCAAACCGTGCACCTGAAGAGTTTTCCAGATGACTTTATGGACCTAAAATACATACTTCAGTGAATTAATATGTATTAGTAGGGGCTCTGATGCTCAAGATACACCTGATGGCTGCACACTGCCATCAACTGGTAACTGTGAAAGAAAAATACATAGCTCTAAAACTTAAGAGTAAAGTCTGCAAGAAATACTGCTAGCTATCTGTTTTGTCTCCTTACTGATGCATGAAGGGAATTCAGATATGCATTGTACACTTAGAGCATGTCAATAACTTCCACTGAACACTAGAGAATGCAATTATGATATTTCTAGAAATTAATTTCTAAATCCTTTTTAAAACAGTGCCAAATTTTATGTTTGGCTTTGAAGCAGTTTTACCTCATCAGATTCTTTAGAAAACACATGCTTGTCCAGAACTTTGATGTATTTGGTACCATGAGGGACAGGAGCTAAGGCATCCAAGATAGTGAGTCTCCTAGCAACCAACCCATGAGTCTTTAACCAGAGGGCTGAAGATGTATCTAGAGAACTAGAAAAAAGAGGCTGTGAGATGTAGCACAAGGTAGAAATACATTTGAGAAGCTTGAAACTACTGAAGTAAAATAAAAGCTATAAATTTTGTGATGTATGTATACATGCACACATACCTTTTAGATGTCCTCTTCACAGCTTTCTGCATTTTCAGATCTAAGAAAAAAACATTTGCATTTCATTATCTCACAGGTTTTGTGCACACAAAGGTACACATAAATAAGCTGACATGCAATAGGTTTTCTTGACCCTAGTAGCAGTGTCACAGACTACACAACAATGTATATTTCAGTTGCTAAAATAATCAATGAGAATTAAGTTTCCTGTGTTTCTTGGTGCTTGATCAAAAGTTCTATGAAAATCTGTAAAAAGGCATATCAAGAACTAAAAATAAGGTGTCAAAATGTAAGAGTCAAACATCTTTAAGTATCCTAGGCTAAGTTGTAGAACAACTTAGATGACCTATTGTAAAGTTCAGAGCTGTGTGAATTAGTGAGTTTAAAACTATCTGTATGTATATCCAAGTGCAATTAGAAATACTTTCTCTATATGTGCATCTGTCCCAGAGAGCAAGTTTTTTGCAAGTCTAAGCACATTAGTAAAGTGCAGCCTCCTTTTACATTGGTACTCCAGAATTAGAACCACCACTCTCAACTTTAACCTCAACATTGAACTTGAATAAGTACAAATTACTGTATCACAGTACTACAGCTACTGATTCTGTTGATGAGAAGTGACTGTGATACTGTAAGGCAGAGCTGTATCACATTTCTGCAAACTGCAGACAATACTAAGCTGTTACAATAACCTCCTGTGCATCCAGCTCCCCCCAACGTTGCTACCTTTGTCCTGCAGCTTTGCAGTTTTGCCTCAAATGAGGTGCCACGAGTTACAAATGTAGCAGGAGAAAAGTTACCAGCTGCCCCACAAAGAGATTCCTATTCCGGCAACTTGCCTTTGAAATTCATGTTCTTATTGACAGAAAAGCTCTTTTTTTCCACAGATATTCCTTCCTCTGGGCTTTTGTCCCTAGATTTCACACTGTGGCTCAGGATTCGCAGCAGACTCGTCTTTGTTTGCCCTGTAGGTGTTGAAAGGGAAAGAAAGGAACAGCTAACTTACTGCTCCAATACCTGCCCAAGTTTTTGAGTTCCTCTTTGGTATCCAGGCTCAAGTTTTAAGGGACTGCCTACAGAAGACATCAATCACAAAATTACTTCAGCACTAATTGGTACTTTGCACTTTCCCAAGGATGAAGACTCCTTTTACAGTTGGGTAAACCTGGTTTCAGACTCCATACAAAGGATTCTTCAGAGAGAAAGAATGTTACAGGTGTAGTAAGGAGAAATATTAGTGTAAGTCATGCTGTACTAGCCAAACTTAGATCAGCTCTTCATTCTTGCCAGGGAAGTATTGATTTTGAATTTAAAAAAAAGATGAGGATTTAATATCCACTGTTAAAAGACTGTTTGCAGAGATTTCAAAACATTCTGTCAAAATAATTAATTTTTCCTTGCAGGGTTTTTGATACAGCATAAATGAGCAAGTGTTTGTCTGTCTGTTTGGGTCAAATGAGTAAAATGGCTGAAAAGTAAAAATGAAGAGAAGCTAGTTAGGATTCCAGAAAGAGATTTATTTAAATCATAAATGTTTCATTTGTCCCTAAAATGAGGGACGGTTTTTTGTTATTTTTAACAGAATCTTTCCAAGATAGTGAATAAATTCTGCTAAAAAATACACTTCATTTTAGTCCTACCTGCATATAATGCTTTCTTCCTTCGGACTGGGCTGTCAGCAGTGGTTTGACAGATTTGCTGACATGGTGTCAGTGCTGGATCTTCTGAAGAACAGCCTGGCCTACTGCTAAGAGGAGTATTCAGCTCTTCATCGTGCTCAGCTACAGAAGACACAGCATGTGTCTGACAAAAAGAAGAAACAAACAAGAAATCACTTCAAACATATACAACTGCTTTAAAAAACACTGAAGTCTTCTGATAATTTAAATACACATTTCAAATGCTTCCAACAGAGCAAAGTATTTTTTCTATTATCTTAGTCTGCATTTCAAAGAAGAGTTCAAAGGAGGTTAAAACATTCATAGTTTTTAAAGCTATTTAAATATTGTTTTTTAGCCTATTTAAAATGTCAATTACTTTTCAAGGCTATACCCTTATATATGTTTAATAAGGTCAGTATGTTCTGTAATAGCCACTTTAGATCCTGGGAGAAAGAGCAAACCCTCCATTGCCAATGACAAAAACAGACACACACATTCACACAAACGAGATCATTCCACAGGACTCTCCACTTCTCTTTTACTTTATTTTTAATACCTTTATTTTAACTTACTGCTTTAAATACATTTCTTTCTGAAAAACCTGGGTGTTTAAAATGTACTTTTTCACTTTTGTACTATTACTGCACTAGTAAATCAGGCACCAGGCAAACTATTTTTTTATTAAGGCTGTGCTTCTGTAGAGATTTCAAGTAACTTCACATTTGAAGCTAGGTCTGTGTTTCTTGACCAAACAGAAACTCAGTATAATCAAACATGCAGAAAACATTTCTTCAGTGGCCCAGGAGTCTGACTTCAGTACACTGTGGAAGGACCTCTTCTTGCATGGTCATTCTTGGCATCATGAGACTTTCAATATGGTTTTCAACTGATACTGAACATGAAATGATTTTGAATTAGGAGACTACTTAACTTTTTGTAACAAGCAAGGACAAATATGGCATGAACATACAGACACATGTAAAATAAAAATGTGCAAAGAAGTAAGCTGAATTTCATTCACAGAGTTTGCCATCTTTTAAACACACACATTTGTATGCAATTTAAGTTTCAATCTGAACATCCCAATCAGTGGCAATTTAGTCATCAAGTACCAAGCAAATTGTACCAACTGAACAAAAATTTGTCATTAATTCTCTAGATCAGAGGAAGCAACTTTATCACATATTGGAAATAGAAAAATATTTTCACCTCTTTGCTTTAATTATTCCAAATAATTTGAGACTATTTGATACTATTGAGTCTATTTGATATTATTTGAGACTATTAGTGAATTTCTCCAGATTTTTCTTCTCTGTTACTGAAAATATTTTTAAAACTCCAATTTTTTCTTTTTAAAAGAGGAGAATGTTAGGGCTTAAAAATGCAAGACAATGAAAAATTATAAATGTAACAGTTCATATATCTTATAACATAATAGCAGTATGGGGACATACTTATTCTCTGGGTCATTTTCTCCCTTATAACAATCCATCATCAGACATTCAGTATGAATGTTCTTCATTTTCTTTAGGTCTCTTTCTCCTTGTTCAACCTCTCTTTTCAAAATATCTATGTCTTCACTCTAAGAAAAACAAAATCAAACGTTTTATTACAATTACTCCTGATCATTTCTGAATTGAAACTATGCAAGCTCTGATAATCATTTTGAATAATGACTCAGTTAGGAAAGCTGCATCATTTTGTATACTTTTTCAGGTAGTTTCTCTGTTTCCTAAATCAAAGTTTGCTTGTTCACTTTTTGTATGTATTAACAAGTGTATAGAAAACAAGATTAATATGTGCTTGGCAATGCAGTCTTTCAAATTCTTCTTCCTTTTTAGGAAAAAGACAAGCAGTCCCTAACAAGCCAATTACCCCATGAGATATGAACAGCCATATTTCTGAATAATGTAATGAAGTCAGTAACTCCCCTCATTCGAACCAAGCAAGCAAATAAATAATAAATAAAATACATCTACATTACAAAAGTTGTCCTGTCACTCTACACATCACAGCTGTATCACACACTGTCCCTGAAAGATGGGAAGTAAACCCGTACTCTTCAAGTCAACTTTTAAACTGACTGGGAACCATTGGGACTACAGGAGGAAACAGGAAGGAAATTCCAACAATGATCTCTTTAAAGTTCCCACAGGGTCAGGAGTCTGGAGATGAACAACACAGACTCATCTTTCCAAAAGGAAACTGTCACACAGTCACACATTAGCAGAATCACCAAAATCACCCAGTACACTCTGGTATTTTTCAAGAGCGTTTTCACCTCTTCCTTCTCGTTGGTGTCTGCAAAGTTCTACATTCCCTGCTGCTGTTCCTGGTTGTTCTCATTGTTCCACTACCACCATTTCTAAAATTTGTGGAACTAATTAACTGAGTGTCACCTTTAAGTGGAAACAAGAATATACTTTAAATGGGTGTTTCTATTAGTTCCTTCAGAAATTTCCTGCTGGGGATTGTTAGATTGAGCTGCTCAGTCACACTTCATAGGTCACTGCTATTCCAGTAATTTTACTCGTTATAGATCTCTCCCCAGTGGCTACTGTAGAACAACCTTTTAGCAAAAGTCATAGATTCTTTCATTCATCCATCCTAATTCAAATTCAGCTCTGTATTATCTCCTTTATGAACAGGATACAAACCATAGTTTCATTTTCAACAGTAAATTATTTCTGGCACAGCAGAGATCACATGTATTTCTTCCAGAGCTGAATTTGATCTCTATGGGTTTTGAGGTTTTTTTTGTTCTTGTTTTTGTGGTGTTTCTATTGCAACAGTAGCACTACAAACATACTTTGCATGGTATCTGGGCTTTTTTTTGTTGTGGTCTAATAGAATTTCATAAGCAAATCATGTTACACATTACTTTCACATCACTTCAAATCTGACTAGGATTAACCCCCTATTGTAATACAAAATCACAATTATGTCAGTCTTGCAGTTCCTTCAATAGCATGAAGACAGAAACATTTCTTTTTGGATACTCACAATAATAAACTCTGCATCAGGATCAGTCAAATAAATGTTGTAATAACAAAACCTGCCCCCTGTTTCAGTAGAGAGTTCATACAAAAATTTATTGGCTTCTCTATCATCACAGTTCAAGGACACAGTATGGATCGGAATTTTACAGTGAAGCTGGACCTGGGCCAAAATTGTTTGGGGAGGCTGAAAATCAAAACATGTATATTAAACAAAGTATGGAGAATATGAAATCATTTAAATAGTCACACTGTCACTTGGAGACAGATATAGATCAGTTAAAAACATGTATTTTATATGGATCATTGTTTCATAGTTCTATAAAATGACCTAATTTTAAACTGAATTGGAAACACCATTAAGACACAGGATACTTTAATAAAATAAAATGTAACTTATGTTCAGTGCTCTTTGCTTCTGATGTCTTAGAGGAGATGACTAAAGTATAGGAAATTACACTACTACATTGGTGTTTAGTGTCATTGGATATAATTGAATATATTTTGGAGGTGTATAACTGTCAACATTTTTATTAGGCTAAATGAGTTCAACAAGAAGTTGATTCAATGCCAGGAAAAAAAATAAAGACTGAAAAAGTAGGATAGCTAGTGTTCCTCCTCCAATAAATAAATGAAAATTAGGTGAGAAAGTAAAAGATTTGCCATGTCTAAAAATGCTGAAGGATCTGGTAGGAAGAAATTATTGACTCAGTTCTCTGATTTCTGATAACACTTTGATTTTTCAGAATACTGTCATAAATCTTAATAAATTTAGCTCTCTCCTGTTATTTGCAATATAATTGTTTATTGCACTGCATTAGTGAAAGGCAATCTTGGTCATTTCCCTTTTTTGAATCTAAAAAAGTATAATATAAATCACAAAAGCCATTATGAGCTAGGTAAAAAGAAATTCAGTATTCATTAATTTCCAGCTTGATATAAATATTAAAATTAGGAATCTGAATAAGTGTATGTTAAGCCACATTACTTTTTATTAAAATATTAATATATGCTCCTAAATCACAGAAATGTGAAAGAATGCAAAAATTTTCATCAGTTGTAAACTGAATTTTAACAGGTGATGGCCAATCATAATCAAATTGTCTTTAGAAAATAACCATATATCAAAACTTAAATTAAAAACAACATTAAAAGATGTGAGTTGAAGCTTCTCTTCTGCTATTTTCAAATCAGGTTTACAATTTTATATTCAAATCACTCTGAAGTAAATAAATCCACCTTTCCTTGTGTGCCAATAAAAATAGAATAAAAAGGGGGCCTTTCCTATCAACATGTAACAAAATTATTTCTGCAAGTTTGTGAAGCCTTCTGAATCCTACAATTATAGGACATGCTTCTGTAATGAATCCCACATGGCCTTCAGCCTAGCTGTTTACCTAAGTAAAGGAAGGATTTTTCTGCATATCCACCATTACAACTAAGTTAAATTTTCAAGGGCAAATTTTTAAAACACCAATCTCAGTACCTGGGGTGGTTTTCACCATGCATTACAGATTGAAAGGGGTTGTTTTTCCAGTTTTTACTTGGTGTTATATAACATGAAATAGCATCAAATTAACAACGAATTCAAAAATTAAAGCATACTTTTCCATTATCCACTTAGAACTAGAAAAAAAGCAACTCAGGCTGCTGCTACTCCAGACTTTTACCTATGTGAGATCAAATTTGATTCAGTGGGATAAAAATGGAATCATACAGAGACCTAAAGGAACAATATTGATGGTAAAATCTTTAAATGAGAATAATGAGGCCCTTACTCCTCAGACATTACATAGCTTTTGTGTGTATGTTCTGCAAGACAATGTAAGACAGTTCCTACTTAAATATTTTATGTGTTCTGGTGGGAAAATGTTGATCACAGACTTTGGTTTTGTTTGTTTGTTTGTTTTCATTTTGCTATCAGTCATTTTCTTTTTAGGTTTTCAAGCCATCACACAAGACTAAAGGTTTCAATGTTTAAATCCAACCATATCATGGAACCATCATTATTATTTTTTTATTATTATTTCATGAGATATTTGTACCAGTTAGGGAGATATTAAATACAAATACTAGCCCTGATTCTAACATGATTAATCCACTACCAGATCCTTCAAACAACTCATGAGTAACGTCATGAGTTATCATGCACCAAAGACTGGACTGTGGCTGGAGAGTTCTAATCAAATCCCTTTAACAAACAGTACATTTCTCAGACATAATTTTTCAATGGTATGACAACCTCCAAGAGACTCAGCTCTCCAGGTATGAGATCTCATGTATCATGTATCATGTATCTCATACATGTGCTGCAGCCTCCTGGCACCATCACGGTAGCACCACACTACCCACATTTTTTCTCATTTCAGAAATACCTGGTCAGGTCTTCCATCAGTCAAGAGGTAAATAGCCTGAGTGGCAGTATCAGCAAGAGCAATTTGGAGAGCTTGGAGTGTATTTGTGGAACTTCCAGCCTAAGAAACCAAAAAGACAGAGATATAGCTATAAATGCTAACAGTTCTTTGCCTCTGTTCTTAAATGAATAATGACAGTGTACATATTACAGAACTTAAATGAGTAATAAAAGTGAAAGTCTTTATGTCAAATAGCTGGAAAAATCAAAGCAAGTGTCAGAGAAGCAGAAATTGGTACAAAATTGGTATTCAGTGCTTATGCAAACACACATAAACAAAATGCTGGGAACAGCCATGACTAGGAGACTACAAACAGATAGAAAGGCTTAAGATAAAAGATAACATTCTGTTACATTTTCCCGCTGCTGCTCCTGATTGCCAGCTGATCACACTCCCTTGAAATACATCTTGTACTCAGTAAAATAATT